AAAAATATGTATTATTAGTGCTTCATTCTGATAGTGTAGAGTTGCTTGCTTTTAACTCGCTTCAGTGAGATTTTGCCTTCGCGTTATTTCTTTTTCTGTATACTTCCCTACTATGCTGTAACTATTGCTCTTAATATTCGCTAAAGCTAGAATCATTAGTAAGAGCAGTGCAAGCTACTATACTCTTCAGAATGTTCTGTATATATTGACCTTCCTCTTATGGGTGTCATTTGAGCTTCGTCATTGAACAGCGATCTATGGAGCCGTGGTAAACCTTTCGATTCATTGTGTAGTTTAATCGGATGAAAACGGGATCACAAGGATTGTAGCAGTCATTGTGAAACGTTTGAGATTAATGACTTTTCTGCAAATTTTTTGTCATATTCGGGTAAGCACACGGGTAAGTTTTATCTCGCTGTGCGCTACCTCGATGGCAGTCAATACTGTGCGCGCAATGTAAGTTTAGTTGGACCGTAAGTTTGCGGTGTAAGTTATTTTCAAATACTAACAGTCGCGGCGTAAGTTCTTTTCTAAATCGCGGCATCTGTTGGACTTCTCTTAATCACCAACCCTGTGGGTATTCCCTCATCCTCCAGATCAGGTAATCAATGAATCTTCAAGAAAAAGGGAGATTGATCTTGTTTTAGACGCATACAAACGCGCTGATGGAACTAAGGTTGACGGACGGAGACTGATTGTTGACTACGAAAGAGGACGGACGCAGAAGTCATGGCTACCAAGAAGGCTTGGTTTGTACTTTTACTTTGCTTGAAAGCAGCAAAGTTTTTTTTTTTTGTAATACAATACACCACATCGTCGTGCAAGCGTTAATTGGCATCCTTTTATTTAAATCACCGCATACTGGGTTCTTTAAGACTTTATCGTCTTGCTGGGGAAAACGCCTAGGCAGACCACTTGCGATTATTTTCCGCCTTTACTGCTAGAATGTGGAGTTGGACTCATACATCCATTTCTACAGAGATGCTTCCGAGCAGTTCCCCCATGCGAGCCGTTTAGTAGTGGAGATATCAGCTGGTTATCCTTAGCAGCGCATCAGCCATATCACTTCCTCTTTTGCCAGTAAACCAATCTTGAGTTAGAGTTGCCCGGAAACGTTTCTTACAACTATATAAAATGGAAACTATCTCAGCATGTCTTTTTCCATACGCTCTTTTAAAGTTAGATTTGTAGTGAAACTTAGAACCAAGTCTTATACAGGCTAATGCTTCACCTCGCTTGTCCAAAGTTCACACCAGCACTTACGCTGAAAGCAAGATTTAACGCTATGATATAGTTACTCTTTCCTAATCTAAAAAATCATCGTATGTGCATCTTTGATCGAAGTAGTAAAGTTCTGATTTTACCTCTCAGCGCCTTTTTTTCTTGAAAGAGAGGGACCACGAGCCATTTATTCCGTCCGTTCGTAACAACACAAAAATCACAACCAATTTGCCACATTTCCGCAACAAAATTGCTCATTTTTACTTACTGTTCTACAGCTAATATGATAACACTTAATAACTGGTCTTCGACTTTCTTAGCAAAGAATTAATTTCATGAAGAGAAACACACACGGCTATCACCAGCCGGCAGTTTGGGACGTGAGCTCGGCGCACAAACTCAAGCAATTCCACTCTTTTCACACTATAGTGCTTTTTGAGCTTGTGAAGCCTACGAGGAAAATTGTGAAGGCCAAAACAACAAATATTTGGATTTTCTAAGGTTTTAACCTGTAACGATTCAGGTTTCTTTTGCAAATAGTTCTGTAGAATAATGTTCTGTACATATCCTGCATAATATATTCTTGTTTCAGAAAGAATTTTTTTTCAATGTTTAGTTCTGAACTAAATCAACAATTGCAGTTCGATTTACATATTTTTTAAAGTTTGCACCGTTGTAGAGGATTATAGACAGTGGTCTCAGTTTTAGTAATAAATTACGACAATAAGTTGAATGCACAGCGGAATTTGTAGAGAGGCGTGCTTACGCCCACTGTGGCTGTGAGCTATCTTCATAAAGTCATGCACCCAAACTAAACGTTTATTGTAAGTAATAATAATCTATGTAAGGAGTTTATCAAAGTCTTCGGCGTTTATGAGCCTTGAAAACTAACACAACATTTTCTACTCTCTCATCTCGTGCACTTTACAAGCTAAATGCTGGATTTTTCCGTCAAGGGTAGAGTTAAAATGCAGCGCACTGCAGGGCTACTGAGGCTTGCGTGCGTCATAATCAATGCTCCAGGAAAGGCAGCAAGTCGCTAAAACCCTTGCGCGTCCTCTATATCAAATATGGATTTCTTTGTTGTAACTCTTACTAGCACAGAAATATGCAATTTCTAACATTCAAGGGTTTTCTTATAATATCTAATCTTATGCTTCTTGTAGGCGGTGGAAAGGGAGACACGCGTCGAGCTAGGGAGTCTAGGGCTGCAATGGAGGAACGAGAAGCTGCCGGTTTGCCTCCACTGGATGTTCCTCGAGATCGCGATAGGGATAGAGGTGATTCGCCGCGCACACGTGATAGCTATCGTGACCATGAGCGAAATGGGTCGTCGCGTCACCGTAGTCGATCTCGCGACCGCGGACATAGAGATCGCGGCTATGATCGCGATCGCGGCTATGGGAGAGACAGGAGGTTTGTTTACATTTTGTTCAGATGTTTTGCTAGTTGAGTCTTTTTTTCATGAATGGAATGTTGCAGAGATAATGGTTATGGAAGAGATGACCGTAGGAGCGGATTTCGTGGTCCTCCTCCTCCATACGGGCGGGACAGGAGATAGTTTCTTTACTTTCAGGCAGTTAATGTTTATTTTCACTCGCCCGGGTGTTCTGCAAACAAAAATCTAAACACTAGTATCATAATTCCGCTGTATTCTAGTTGTTACCGCTCCTGCTCGTACTAGTATACGATTGTTTTGTTTTGATTTTTGTTTATTCCATTAATATTGTTTTGTGGCGTTTTTCAGCAATGTTACAGTGGATGTTTTGCTTCTTTGGTACGGCGGTGACATTTGATTTTGTTTCTGAATGAAGTTTTCTTTTTATTCGAAGTAGTTTTCTATATTCTACGTTATGTAATACTTTATTTGTTAAACAACGTCAAGATGTCGCTGTTGGCTGATGCAATAAACTTAATCAAATCTTTGATTTCGGCGAGACTAATTTTGTGGTATTGGTGCCTATCTGTCTATATCTATCTATGTATTATCTATTATTCTACTTGGTTATCCGACTCTCATCGTTCTTCAGTTTTATTCGGTATTGAGTTTCTCGCTTCGATCTGTCAGTTTGGCTTAACATCGACAGTTCTCTAATACAGTCTTTGAAAAATCCTTGAAAATTTTCGTATTTCATCCTTGCATAGTCATGTAACACGCTCGATTTTGCTTATCAAGTTTCTTACATCGTTCAATGAGGTATGAACGTTTCTCAATAATCAGATTCTGCTATAGTAGAGACATTTTATCCAAAAAAGTTTGCAATTAGGGGTAACTTCACACACATGATAAGAAAAGGTAAACTCTGTAATTTATCAAAAAGATACGAAATAAGAAAGAAGTTAAATATGAAGTTTTAATTTTTTTT